ACTGACTGATTGAAAAAATAATCCACAGATCAACCACTGTTATTAACAGATGCAGCTCTGTTCCTAACATACGTGTTGCTGCACACGTCTGTGTCATATAGACTCAGTCCTACGTGGCTGAACGATGCCTCCAGTGTGACGTCTGTGTCACAGTGACGCCGCCGATCCGTCTCACAGTGAAAGAAAACACAACAGGCTGTACAGTGGATTTACAAAGTGTACAAAGACCAACCAACCAGCGATGCAACTGTTCTTTTAAATGGTGAAAATATTAAACATTCAAAATTCCTTCTACTTGTTCACCTGAAGCGGAACCATGCTCACTGTAACCGTAGTCTGTCTGGTCTTTATCTAATGCTAAGCATGCACACTACTCTAAAACATCCAGCCAACATTTTTCTGAACTGATTGAATCATTTAGTCTTTATACCTGGTCAGGTAAGCAGGCTCGTTCAGCAGAGCGTCTCGTTAAGACAGCAGCTACTTTTCAAAAGGTGCATCAGTCTGAACTCATTTCTACATTGTGCTTCTCATGCAGTTGGAAGAGTTCGGCTCTTGTTGCAGTCTGACATTTTATTTAATGCATGAACTAGAGCTGGTTATCTTTTATTTCCTACTAAGTGAAATATTGAATTTAAACGCGATTGCAGCAGCCCTAAACTCGCCCTGCATGCAGTGTGAATGCTCCTTAATGCTACTAGAAGAAATGAAAACCAGATGTATTACCAACCCAGCGGTGGGTGACTGATCAGATTCCACCTGCTTCCTGTTTCATTTTTTGGTACATCATTTGACATTATACTAAATAAATTAAAGCATTTTTTAATTTCATTTATGTTGTTTTACTACTAAAAGGCACATGATTTAAAGCATCGGACGTTTGTGTTTCTTATCCCTGAAAATTTTTCTTTTCAAAATCAGTATTGCAAGTCTGTTTATGTACAAACTGGACGATTACGTACAAATTATCGGCTTCGCTTACAAAATTTCGCGTATCAAATCTTTGCTAAAAATTGAGCTGCGATTATTTGAAAAAAAAAACAAAACAGAAACATTCGTTTAACGCTAAAAATGATTCGAATGCATCATCATGACCGTGGAAACACGACACACACACACTACCTAATCATACCTCAGGACATTTTAAAAGAGTGTCATCTCTACAAATCTGTGCTTTAATAAGAAACTACAAGCTGCAAAAGCCCCCCGCCGCCCTCCCGCCACCTTAAAAAACTCTATCACATTCAAACTAGTACAAATAAGTTAAGGTAGGAAACTGTTTTTTTCTTTCATAGTATAAAATAGTGCTTTACTCGTTGTTTTTCTCACAAAAGCTACTCTAGCAAACATCATGCCTAACTACAAAACAAACTGAATCTCATGGTTCCCCTGTTTTTTAAAGAGCTGCTGATCTCCGAGCAGTTTGGTTCCAGCTCGAAAACCATAAACCAACTATTGCATCCCTCGCAGTAATCTTGTTTTTTTGTGTACGGTTTCACAATATTAATTAGCTGTTAAACAGGAACAAAAAAAGGCATTCATCGCTCAGGTCTCCACTGAAGCCTGTGCGGGTGTTAAAGCCGGCAAATCAGCCTTCGACTCCAGTATCTCTTTTCATGAGCAGAGCTAACTGCCGCACAATGAGAGGACTCGCTGGATGGAGACGTAATTAGGGAGAGAATGTGTGAAGAATAAAGAGGAGGCAGAGAGATAACGCTGACTGCTGCCACTTAAAACATTAAGAGTTTGCAGTGTATAGCGCCGACGCTGAGAGAACGGCAGAGAGTGACAAATGGAGATAGAAATTGTCAAACAGAGCATAATGGTTGTAAATGTGTAATGCTTCCAGCTGGCGCTGCTGTGTGGGGAAGTTCATTCTGCTGCTAAACTTCACTTGTGTGCTCAAGCATTTGAGCTTTTAGTCTGCGGGACTGTTCTGAACGCTGTTTGTAAGCACTGGATGATTCTCACACTGAGACAGATTTGTCTTTTCAGTGCCCTTCTTCTGCTTCTGCATTTCCCCCTCTTTGCCTCCCTCATTACTCTGGACCACCGTCCCTCCTGGAGCCGCCTACTGATTCTTTTCACCCGACAATGAGGAGCTGGACCTGTTCTACCAGCAGGACAAGCGAGTGTGAGCAGCAAGGACACGCTCCCCGCCTGCTTCCCACCTGCCAACACTGTCACTTATTCTGGGTGTTGCTTTGGGGCTCCAGGCCAAGCTCGAGGCGCCGCTAGCCGAGTCCTGAACCCAGCTTCTATGTCTGTGCTGCCAGGACGTCTTCATTAGAGCCATCTATGTATAAACACACAACTAGAACAGTTTAGTTTTTATTGCTTCAAGTGGTTTCCTTGAATATCTGCTGTTCAAAATGCGACTTATTGCTCTTTCTCAGAAGTGACGAGCCGTAGAGGACGGTGCCATGGCTTATGGTGGTTGTAGGACAGCTCCTGTAAAGTCTGACGCTCAGTAGGCTGATACTAGAATGGCTTTTTGCTGAACAAGGCCCTTGTGGTTCACTGGGTGTTAGAATTTTACAGCTGGAAGGTGCTAATTATGTCATCATCCCAATAAAATGTCAGTGTCTTTCCCATAATGTTGGCCGTTCTGACACTAAATTTGCACTCATCACCTAAAGTCAAACATCAGAGACATTAAAAGAGAAAGACTCACCGCTTACGAGGTGTGTCAGGAACGTTCCAGGACTGGTGTCACAAAAGATCAAATGCAAACTACAAACTACCAGTAACCCTCCTGGAGTCTACCACCCTCCTCCAGCCTTCTCTTCACTCCTGGAAGGATTCTTCAGGATCCTCTCAGCTCCGTCCTCACAGCCATCTTGATGTCGTCCACGTCTTCTAAACGGGTCTCCTTGATGACCCCCTTGAGCTTGGGGAAGAGGAACCAACCCCACGGAGCCAGGTGGGGTGAGTAGGGAGGTTGCTCCAACATGGAGATGTTCTTCTCAGCCAGGAGCTGTGGGATGCTCAGGATGCTGTGAGCAGGTTGTCATGGTGAAGCAGCCTCCACTGGTCCTGACACAACTCTGCCTCTTCTCTGAACGAAGCAAACGCTGCAGGATCTCTGTAGACGAGCTGGTTGATGGTCTGAAGGGGAAAACTGGTAGTTTGTAGTTTGGGTTTGAAATAGATCTTCAGTGACACCAGTCCTGGACCTTTTTTGAAACACCTCGTTAATGTCCCACATGGTGAAAATCCATTTTTATTGTGTACTTATATGTCTTAAAAACTGTGAAAAAATGAAAATGTGTATTACTGCCATTCATCTAGATGACCTCCCAGTTTTACAAGACAACATGAAGTTTCTTCAGTTTCTCTGTAGAAACTTCAAAAACCATTGAAGTAAATATTTGCGTTTTACTGTACTGTGTTTTTATTGTGCTTCAGTGCAACCTGAGCTCAGCTGTTTGCTTCCCTCCTGCTCTCTGTGCTCACCTATAGAGTACTGTAATACAGCTGAATGAAGACCACATGGTCACCAGCAGTCACTTCACAGTCATTTCACAACTACATGTCTGCTGATCTATTGACTTTATATTAAACTGCTGTCAGACAAACCGACACACTTAAAGGAAAGCTGGACGTGACAGAGCGACCTGGTCTCACACTCGTTTACATCCATGTCAGCTGTTGCTCAGCTGTTTTAGTTATGACCTTAACAGGCTGCTGCTGTCTACGCCACCTTCAGGAAGAACTCTGTCTGCTTTTTTTAGTGACTGACAAAGTAATACTAATAAAATAATGATGGTGGGAGTGTGTGGAGACTCTTGAGTCTTGGGTCTGAGACCTGTAAGCGTTAGCAGAAGCAGCACTGGCAAGTAAATAAAACTACTGGGATAAAACATATAAAATGGACTTTCACCATGTGGGACTGTTACCGTGGCGCCTTGCTAACCAAGCTAGCTGTTTGGTTTGACAGCTAGAACTTAGTCCAACTGAACTAAATGGAGAATCTAATTTAGAAAGCCCTGGAGGTCCGGAGCCCATTCCAGCTGACAATGGGCAGGATGACGTGTCCATCACAAGGCTAGCACAACAACCACGCACGCCGACACTGACACCTACAGTCAGTTCAGAAGTGCCAGATGACCTACTGTGCTTTGGACGGAAGCTGGAGACAGAACATGCAAAGTCCACACAGACAGTCGGCTGGTTCTAACCTGGAGGTGACCACCACCGTGCCATCCTACATGTTGTTTCCTCCACTTCTCTGCAGTGTGTGTGGTGCTCAGTCAACATTAAATGGCCACAGTCATGGGAATGACGATTTGTTTTCGTGGGCACAAACAGCCACCGTCACAGGAACAAACCAGCATCAAACGTCTTCAAGTCTAAACACGTGTCACTCTTTCTCCACCACGGCTACACCTCTACAGACAGACACAACTCAAATAATGGTTCATTTTCATTACTGCTAAAACCAGATCTAATTCTCCTGCATCAGGTGAAAATGTTCTGAAGTGATTTTCTGAGGAGCTTTCCGACCTCCTGCGCTGATTCGCTCGCAGACGGCCGGATAAAAGCTTTCCAGGCAACCCGGTAATTGTCTGGCGAAGACAGATCTAATTAAATCATTAAAAATAATCTTAAAATCACCGTTTGCTTTTAATCCTGTTCAGCTTTCATCAAAAGAGAGTTTAGTGCAATTTAAGTGACCCTATGGTGTCAATAGTTTTTGCATATCTAAGAGCTCGTGTGCAACAAGTTTCAGTACATTCATCAATCAGCAGATTTTTTTTCTCACAACTCTAGATATGAAAATCATTCAAAAAAAAAGTTTCTCAGCTTGATATTTGGAGTGCATATTCGATAATCGTTATTGGGGAAATGCATAATGAGCCAATCATTATGAATTCCCCCAATAAATGACACTTTGTGGGAGTTGAAGTGTCTCTTGTGCAGTGTTAACACTCGTCTAGTGAGTGGATTTCTTTTGGAATCTCAACTTTTCCAAGATTAGATAAGGTTGATCGGAGGGTCGATTGTGTTTTAATATTTCCCATGTGTTAAACTTCATTGACCTGATCAGCTTTTGAGCGCACTGCATCCTCTGTCGGCCGAGATCATTTTGTGTCACTCGGGTAATTCTCAAACAAGTCCAAGCCGAAGAACACCAGCCTCTCGGCTGACCGGATGGCCCTGAGGATGAGCGACAGAGACTGGTTCATGTTGCTGAGGCAAAGCACTTCTTTGTTCGCCGAGTTGTACTTTGCTGCCTTGCTGGTGACGTTGCAGTGCAGGACGGCTTCCTGCGAGAACCGCAGGATTGAAAACTGAGGAGTCTTTCCTGGAAGGCTGTAGAGCTGATTCCTGTGGGGGGGAGACAAAGAGAGAGGAGAGAGTGTCAGTGGATAACTTTGGTTACGACAGTCTGTCTCGCTGTCAACACAGTTAAAATGCTTGTTGTTTGCAGGGCAGAGCGGCGTGGGAGGATTTCACTGAGTGGAATAAGTTGTGCCTGTCTTTAAGAAACAGTTTTTGAAATGTTGTTTGCAGAATACCATTGTAACTGCTGAATTATGCTTTGTGTAAATCGAATGCAATTAAGGGACAATTTAACACCCGGTTTGGTTTTAATGCAGCCACCCCCCCCACCCCAGACGTAATCTCTTTTTAAATATTGGCAAAGCAAATATATTTGTGAAGCACATTTCATACACAAAGGCAATCCACAGTGCTTTACATAATGCCTGGAAAATGCTAACAACAGAAGAAAAGAGCAGCATCAGAACATTAAGATGTAAATGACAGGAGTGAAAACTTTTTCAGATGAAACTGAAACGTGACAAACATGAGGAGAAGATGAAGCTGAAGTCTGAGGCCATGTGGACACCAGTGGGTCGCTCCCTCTGGGTCAAGCAAAGGAATTAAAGCATCTCGGGATCGTGCTTATGAGTGACACTAAAATGTAGAGTGAGATGGACGGATGGACCGGTGCAGCGTCAGCATAAATGCTGGTGTAGGAACAGACCATAGCGTGGAACAGAAGCTGAGCTGGAAAAGCTCTCGATTTGTCAGTCGGTCTTTTCTCCAACCCTCACCAACAGTCATGAGGGCAGTAACTGAAAGAATGAGACTTGAGATACCAGCAGTTGGAATGAGTTTCCTCCGTAGGGTTGCTGGGGTAAGCCTTGGAGATCTCAGACTTCTGGAGGGACCTCAGAGTAGAGTCTTGTCAAAAGGAGCCAGCTGAGAGGGTTCGGGCGTCTGATGACGATGCCTCCAAGACACCTTACTTTGGAAGTTTTCCCAACTGAGAGGAGACCCAAAAGTAGACCAAAGATTTGATGCAGGATTATATATTTTATCTGGCCTGGGAACGCCTTGGGATCACCCTTGAGGATGTTGCTGGAGACGTCTTGAATACCATCCTTAGCTTGCTGCCATCGCAACCTGACCCTCAGATGAGCAGAAGAAACGAAAAGTGAAGAAGAGCGGTGGTATATGAGGGGAAGATGGTCCATGAGGAATTTGAAGTTCACTCAAAGGCAGTGCAAAAAAAAGGTTTTGTGTCCTGGCCTAGAGGTGAGATTCCCTGATAAAGACAAAGATTTGCCATGTTTATGAACAAAGCCTGCTGCTACCATCATCAGCTGACGGGATACCCTCATGTTCCATGTAAAAGCCGGCACTGATATAAAAGCTGGAGGCTGTGACCAACATAAACAAGGAAGAAAAACGTACTGAGCAACATAAGAAAACAACTAAAACGTCAAGCAAGAGATGATGTGATATCTTCAAACAAAGCTGCATTCATCTCACTACCAGTGTTTCATTTGGGCTGCTGCAGATATTTTACCTTCAAGACTTCATCAGCTGATGTCATCATCTATCACTACATAACAGTTTGGTGCCAGGTAGCTTGCAGCCAGTTAACCCTCTGAATCCCAAGCAGCTAACGCTAAATAGTCCCGACATTCTGTCACATGACTATTCATCACAACTGAGTCACTATTCTCGTGGATTAATCGTAGCAACTGCTTGAGTTCCTTGAAGACGTTCCACCTCTCATCCAAGAGGCTTCATCAGCTCTGACTGACTAGTTGGGAGTTCCACATACTGATATCCTGAAGGAGCCGTTAACACCTGAGTTTTAATTGCGGTTTGTTGCTCCTCCCCCTCGTTATGTGAGTCGTTAGTGCTCCTCCTGCCACAGTGGGGTTCGTTTTTAAAGAATCTGCTTTTGCAAATGGTTTTTAGCAAATCTTTAAATGAGACGTGAAAAATAAAGTGTTTTTAACCAAATTTTAAGCTTAGCATGAAATTAAACTTTTTGCTCAGATGAGCCCTGTAGAAGCACATCCAAGGTCAATGACCCTCAGAAAGCTGAAAAGCTGACTGATTCTTTCTGTTGTCTCCAGATCTGATAAATGGTGTCATTTTTTCAATTATTTTCCAAGACAACATGTCTTTCAGTTCAGAGGGTTAACCTTCTACCTGCCAAGCAACCTGAAGCTGCTCTGATGATACGTTCAAGTGCAGCCGATCAAAACTGAAACAAGACTTGTGAAAACTTCTTGTTCGTATTTTGACCTTTGCTTAATTTTCTGTCACAAACCTGCTGCACCACATCAAGTATTGTCCTTAAAATACCTCACTATCTGTGTCTCTTTGTATTCCTGTCACACACACACACACACACACACACACACACACACACACACACCTACACACCCACACACACACACACACACACACATACACACACACACACACACACACACACACACACACACACACACACACACACACACACACACAGCACATATCTAAACACAGACGAGCCTTTGGGGGTAACAGAGTAGTCATTTGTAGGTCAGATCGGCAGAGGCTGCGGAGCGTTGCTCTCCGCGGGGCTGAAGTACATTGATTTCTCTTAAAGTGGCTGAACGGACAGTCTTAGAGAGTAAATGGAGTGATTCTTCATCTGTTAAGACACAGGTCGTGAGCTGCAGGGTGTGAAGGAGCGCCGGCCTTCAGCGCACAATTTAGATTCAAAGTCAGAGCGCCGTGAGGATTCTGTGTCTGCTCCAGCACATAAAACCAGCTCAGGACGCCAGTGAGGCTGAGTTAGGGCTGTTTGGATTAGTTTAATATATAATTGCAGATAAAGGTGACAGTGGATTATTAATTACGTAAAACAATACAAGATGCTGCCGTATAGATCACAGTGTTTGCTTTCTGTGTGTCTTCCTGCGTTCGTCTTTCCCACAGCATGCTGCAGGTGATGAATGTCGCAGCCACACTTTCCCTCTCTCGTAGTTTAGAAGTCTGACCAGCTCACGAACACATAAGTAACTGTGGGTCATAATAAGCTGCTTGCACAAGTGATTTGTGGGTTTGTTTTTCTACGGGAGGCCAGACTCAGGCATTCAAATGAAGCTGCTGTTTGCATCACCAACGACAACACACAGAACGGCAGCCACTCGTCAGCCTGGTGCCAGTTTCACATCTCTTTAGGCAGATTTTCATGTTGTGCTGGAAAGTGTGAAAAGCATTCTGTGGCTTAAAAGTAAGGAGAAAAAAAAACTCAAGACTGTCACCTAACAGTTCAGTTTTGGGATCATGAGATAGTTTGTTTTGCTTGTTGTGTTGGCATTAGTCCACCCTGAAGCCAGGCTTCTATTGTTCTCTCTCTTTTTTTTTTGTAAATGTCTTTTTTGTTTAAAGTTGTGTAAAAATAGGAAATGTTGGTGGTAATAAATTGCCTACTTTTATACCTGGCTCTCCTCTGCTCGTCCTTTATGTTGTGTCTCTGCACCCCCAGACCAGGCACTTAACACCCACAAAGAAAAATAAATGGCATTTCATTCACTGAGGCGTTTACATGCAGTAGCCGACTTGCAAAGAGGGCAAACAAGACTCCATGAAGTTACCCCCAAACAAGGGACCCCCACTGGTTCCTTTGCCCGAGACTCCCCCAGGATCTAAGATCACCACTGCGATCACACTTTAATTGATAACTGGCATTGTTGGGAAGAGGAAGCTGTTTCATTTGACATGCGCTGCCTCTACGATGAACATCTTTGAGAGCAATTCTACAGAAAAGAAGTCGAATATAAGGGTTGATCATATATATACAGAAGCAGTCTATGTTTAGTGCCACTGCTCAGCTCTTAAAACTGAAGACACTTGTTCTTGCATGAGCTTGGTCTTTGTCATGTGTTGTCTTTATATAGTATGCAGGCCTTTCTTGGATCTATTGCACCCAGTATGGGGGCGTAGCAGGGAGGAAGTAGAAATATCTTTTCAGTGGAGGAATTCAAGATTTGGGGTGATTAATGTTTTCCTTAATCGCAGGTTGTACCTCACCTGCCTTTAGTAGTCCAGTATCACACTAGTGCAGTCAGAGTAAACATTAAAGCAGACATCAATCAGCTCCAGTTCCACTGTGGTCTAATGTCTTGCAGTCGGTCTAACCAGCCAAGCAGTGGGGGTTAGTGCATGTATGGCCCCAGATAAAGCCACTTGAGACGAACACCTGGGATGTAAATGCAACGCGAGTGAATGAAAAGTGTGCGTTTGACTGGAACTAAATCATGTTCCAGCACCGTTATTGCTCATGCAGTTGGAAAAGTTGTCCAGCACATAATTCACTGCCTTCAGCCAGCGTTAATACATCATGCAGAGGTTTTAACTGGACTGTAGCTTTGCCTTAAAAATTAATAGTATCTAAGATATTATTCTTCACGCCCAACAAGTGGATTTACAACATTTCAAGGGTGTTCCATTTGCTGAACAAACTGACTAGCAAAGCGATTAGCTTCGAGACCTTGGCAGATTAAATACATCAAGGATATGCAAGAGTTTTATTTATTTATTT